CATAGACTCATCTGCCCACCTAATCTTCTGTCTCCCCCTAACCCGCTTCCCTTCTCTGGGAATCCAGTCAGTTACCCTTAATGGCCAGCGGTTATCCTGTCTACGTGCTACATGCCCTGCCCATGTCCATTTCTTCTTCTTGATTTCAGCTATGATATTCTTAACCCCCATTTGTTCCCTAATCCACTCTGCTTTCTTCTTGTCTCTTAAGGTTACACCTACCATTTTTCTTTCCATTGCTCGCTGCGTCGTCCTCAATTTAAGCTGAACCCTCTTTGTAAGTCCCCAGGTTTCTGCTCCGTAGCTAAGTACCGGCAAGATACAGCTGTTATATACCTTTCTCTTGAGGGATAGTGGCAATCTACCTGTCATAATTTGAGAGTGCTTGCCGAATGTGCTCCACCCCATTCTTATTCTTCTAGTTACTTCAATCTCGTGGTTCGGCTCTGCGGTTATTACCTGCCCTAAGTAGACATAGTCTTTTACAACTTCAAGTGCACTATTACCTATCTCGAAGCGCTGCTCCTTGCCGAGGTTGTTGTTCATTACTTTCGTTTTCTGCAGATTAATTTTAAGACCCACCTTTCTGCTCTCCTTGTCTAACTCCGTAATCATGAGTTGCAATTGTCCCCTGAGTTACTCAACAATGCAATGTCATCGGCGAAGCGCAGGTTACTAAGGTATTCTCCATTGACTCTTATCCCTAACTGTTCCCATTCTAGGCTTCTGAAAACCTCCTGTAAGCACGTGGTAAATAGCATTGGGGAGATTGTGTCCCCCTGCCTTACACCCTTCTTGATTGGTATTCTGTTGTTTTCTTTATGAAGCACTATGGTAGCAGTTGATCCCCTGTAGATTTCATCCAGGATTTTTATATATACTTCATCGACGCCCTGATTCCACAGTGTCTGCATGATGGCTGATATTTCTACTGAATCAAACACCTTTTCGTAATCTATGAAGGCTATGTATAGTGGTTGGTTATACTCTGAGCATTTCTCTATTACCTGATTGATAGTATGAATGTGGTCAATTGTTGAGTTGCCTGTTCGAAATCCTGCTTGTTCCTTTTGGTTGATTGAATTCTAATGTTTTCTTTACTCTGTTAGCAATTACCTTTGTAAATAGCTTGTATACTACAGAGAGCCAGCTGATCGGCCTGTAATTCTTCAAGTCCTTGTCATCTCCTTTCTTATGTATTAAGATGATCTTAGCGTTCTTCCAAGACTCTGGTACTCTTCCCGTCAGGAGACACCTCGTAAACAGGGTGGCTAGTTTTCTAACACAATCTGTCCTCCATCTTTCAGCAGATCTGATGTTACCTGATCCTCACCAGCAGCTTTGCCTCTTTGCATGCTCTCCAAAGCTTTTCTGACTTCTTCTATCATTACTGGTGTGGTGTAATCTGGGTTACTGCTAGTTCTTATAGTATTAAGGTCGTGGTTGTCTCGGCTACTGTACAGATCTCTGTAAAACTCCTCCGCTATTTTAACTATCCTATCCATATTGGTAGTTATTTTGCCTTCTTTGTCCCTTAGTGCATACATCCGACTTTTGCCTATCCCAAGTTTCCTCTTCAATGCTTTGACACTTCCTCCGTTTTTCAGAGCGTGTTCAATTCTGTCCATGTTATACCTTCTTACGTCGCATACCTTACGTCTATTAATCAACTTCGAAAGCTCTGCCAGTTTTATTTTGTCTATTGTACTTGACACTTTCATGATTTGACGCTTCTTAATTAGGTTCTTCGTTTCCTGGGAAAGCTTGCCAGTGTCCTGTCTAACTACCCTGCCTCCAACTTCCACTGCACACTCCGTAATGATACTCGTCAGATTATCATTCATTGTATCTACGCTAAGGTTGGTTTCCTCACTAAGAGCCGAGTACCTGTTCTGCAGCGACACTCTGAATTCCTGTACTTTCCCTCTCAGTGCTAGCTGATTGATTGGCTTCTTGCGTATCAGTTTCTGTCATTCCTTCTTCAAGTCTAGGCGAATTCGAGACCGTACCATTTTATGGTCACTGCATCGTACCTTGCCAATCACTTCCACATCCTGCACGATTCCAGGGTGTGCACTCATTATAAAGTCTATTTCGTTCTTATTTTCGCCATTAGGGCTTCTCCATGTCCACTTGCGGTTTTCTCGTTTTCGGTAGAAAGTATTCAAAATCCGTAAATTATTGCGTTCTGCGAATTCTACTATAGTAGCTCTCCTCTGGCGTTTCTAGTACCGATGCCATAATCTCCTACTGCCTGGTCTCCAGCCTGCTTCTTCCCTACCTTTGCATTAAAGTCGCCCATCACTATAGTATACTGTGTTTTTACCTTACTCATTGCCGATTCCACGTCTTCATAAAAGCTTTCAACTGAAGCGTCATCATGGCTGGATGTAGGCGCGTAAGCCTGTGCGACCTTCATCTTGTATCTTTTATTCAGTTTAGTTACGATACCTACCACTCTTTCATTAATGCTATAGTATTCCTCTATGTTTCCAGCTATGTTTCTGTGAATTAGGAACCCCACTCCCAGTTCTCTTCTGTCTGCCAAGCCCCTGTAGCAAAGGACGTGCCCATTCTGTAGCACCGTATAGGCCTCATCTGTCCTCCTAACCTCACCGAGCCCTATTATATCCCATTTAACACTCTCTAGCTCCTCGAATAGTACAGCTAGACTTCCCTCACTAGATAAGGTTCTAGCGTTAAACGTTGCCAAGTTCAGGTTCCAATGGCGGCCTGTCCGGATCCAGAGATTCTTAGCACCCTCTGCTGCGTTGCAGATCTGACCACCGCCGTGGTCAGTTGCTTCGCAGCTGCTGGGGACTGAGGGCCGTGAGTTATTTGACGTAAGCATGTGGGAGGTAGTGGCCAGATACTGCACCAGGGTGGCCAATCCTTCTCTGGTGAGGGAGTGCGTTCTCGGTGGTGTTTGCCGGTGAGGCCACACCCCAGGCCTCTTAATGCAGTTCCATCAACACGCGGATTTTTTTTTTAATCCGGTTAGAAACTGCGCGGTACCGGGATTTGAACCACGTACCTCTTGCATGCGAGGCGGATGCTCTAACCACTACGCCATCGCCGCACAGGCCTATATATATATATATATATATATATATATATATATATATATATATATATATATATATATGTATATATATATATATGTATTATATATATATATATATATATATATATATATATATATATATTATATATATATATATATATATATATATATATATATATATATATATATATATATATATATATATATATATCGAGTGAAAAGGGTGTCTTCTTGTCGCACAACAATAATCGTCAGCAGGCTTGCGCGCGCTTCCTTTCTTGGAAACTCGGCGCTGATACCTTTCCTATCGACAATAATAACAACTGAAGAAGTAATGAGCACAGACTTCGCTGACCCACAGGATGTGACGAAGTCCGCGGCAGACGCTCTTTCGGGTAAACAAACAAATCGTCTTTCAATGGGGATAAGCAAGAGCACATACACACACATGCGCGACGATGAGCCACGCTGGATTGGGGCACGTTATATTTCTGTCACGGCCCGACGCGAGGCCCAAGACGAAGACCGCGGCGCTACCAGCGGGAGAGCTCGCGTGTGTGCGGGGCCATCTGGAAGAAGCGCGGAGCCGCCGAGATTCGCTCTCCGTACGTGCGTCTAGCATGCGCCGCCGCAGGAACACCGCGAGCGTTTCCCAAATAAGATCGGCCGGAGAGGATTCTTTTTTTGGAACTGCTCCGAGTGGGCCGACTTCGCCGCTCGCTGCGGCTAGCTTTCGTCGGGGCTGCCTAAACTCCGCGAGAACCACCGCAGACGCTGCTAACGCACCAGCCGCAGTCCCAGGCGGCGCGGTTGTCGAGTAGGGTCCTGGCATGCTGTCACTTCCCGGAGAGCGCTGCCGCCCTGCGCGCCAAGCCGCCTGTCGACCAGCAACTGTCGGCTGAACTTCGATTGCGGGTGAGCATTTTTTGATCGGCAGAATTTCGCATGTTTGCGCTACGTGTCGTGCGCAACGTCTCCTCGCTCCCACCAGTTTCGACGAAGTTGAGGTCTCCGCGTATGTTCGAACTCGATCGGTGTTCATACGTTATTCGCAGATGTATGGAATGCCTGTATGTTGCGTATGTTAACGCCGCGTTGCAGTGGTTGTCGAAATCTCGAAACTCGGGTGTCAGCGTAGGTGCTGCAAGCGTTCGAGCAATGTGCACGTGCATTCTGGGTTATCAATATTGAGGTGCTTGCTTCCCAAAGCGCACAGATTATGAAGTCAGCGCAAGAGGGCTTTGTGAAGCCCTCAGATTTTGAGCATGCAGCCGTCGTATGACGCGTCTTCCGGCTTTGTCAGTGTTCAATGCATGGAGTGCGTTCAATAACCGCAGCATCACACACGCGAACGTGAGGCAGTTGTACGTACGGTTTGTCACTCACCGTAAGCTGATGTAGAAATTGGTAGCTCTAGGCGGTTTGTCAAATCTGTGCATCTTGTATCAAGGTAATCAAGGTCATTTACTCTTCAGAAGCGGTGCCTAGATTGTTGTTCCGTACTGTCGAAATCTGACTGCCTTTGCTATAATTTCAAGTTTTGTATTTAAACCCTCGCAATATCTGACTTCTAATTAAGTTATTAAACTATATCATTTATATGCCTCCACGTGCAGTACCAGCTAACCAACGCCCTAGTCACAGCGCCTTTCATCGTCGACATGTTCGTTCTAGATTGCATAGTTGACTGCTCTCCGATATGCACCTGGCAACAATTCACCAGAAGATTTACCATGGTTCCTTCCTCCATGCCATGGTAATATATGTGTTCTGTGGCTTTAACACAGTCGGCCATTATTCACCGCCGCAAACGTGGAATACCAGGTTAGTTGGCACGGAATAAAAACATTAGCAATTCGCGTTTTATGCATTTGAATGAGCTGTCACTCAGGCGAAGAAACGAAGCTATTCAACTCGCGTACACATCTCGTTTCAGAAGACACTGCAGCACAGCGGTCGACCAATATGGCAATCCGACGCAAGAAACCGGGCCAACCTGCTCGCCTATCCGACTCGCCCCCCGCGATCCACCACTTCTCCAAGGCGCATCGCGTCTGCAAGACCAACGGGGGCAATCAAGTCCGCAAAAGCGTGCTTCCGCGGCAGTCGACGCAGGACCGGATAAACAGCCCTGCCATGGCCAGCAGCAGCAAGTGTTCCGACAGCTTGACGACCACGGCCAGCGCTCGCAGTTCGGAACTGCTTGCGGGCGTGGCGACGCTGCACAGTGGCGACGAGAATCGTTCCCACAACGCGACCATGCCGCAGTGCGATGACGGTGACGACAGGACTGGCAAGGACGTGGAGGGCGACGGTGCGCAGCAGGAGGACAGTGTGTGCAAGTTGCAGAACCGGCTGCGCGACAACTGGTCCAAGCTGGTCACCGATAGGATCACCATGATGGCGTTCGCACGATCCCTCAAGGGGCACAAGTGTCCTGCGTTTCCTTACTGTCTAGGTTAACCACCTATCAATGACTTGTGCTTTCTTTTTTTTTTTTTGCTTTCGTGTGCATAGCTGTATTGTATGCGCTTATGATAGGGTTATATGTCATAGAAAGTCGAGAGCTTGAGTTAACAGCGTGCTTGTTCTTGGAAAAGGGTCTACGAAATAGAGACTGGTTTGGCTTCACTGCGTTGCTGCTAAAACATTGAAAATGTTTGGTTTCTAGAGGGAAGCACGTGCACAGTGAGTGACAGAAAAAGCATATTATGTGCATGAATTCCCTGAAAAAAATATTAATTCGTCTGAGCTCAATTCATGTACTACTTCCATAAAATTAAGCTGTAGAGACCAGGCCGTTAGACAACCTGAGTTCTTCTCCAGAACCCCACTCTAAAATTTGCTTAAAGCTGGGCAAATGTTTTGCAGGACACAACCACAGCCAAAGAGACTACAAAGAAAGCATCTGTTTCTGGTATAAAGTAAATTCTTGCTCTGACTGGTCATTATTGCTGGAAGTGTGCAGAGGTCACAAAAAGTACTACAGATGTGTAAACAAGGCAAGTTGTGCGTCAACTTCCCGTACATCATTATAGTGACAAGATCTCATTGATGCATGGTGATCTGTAGATATGTGCAAGGACAAGATCGCCAAGACTGAGAGTTGCAGAGCTAGGCTGTCAATTAAATGTGTGCACCAAATGTCCAAGCAGTTGAAACCCTATAAATTGCCACTCTCTGTGAATTGGCAAAGAAAATTTACAGGACGTGCTCTAATGCACTTGGATCTCCTAAGCCTTTTCGTGCACTTGGGGTAGTTGTTAACCTGCTAGGTCTAAACAATACGTGGTAAATGGTAGGGTTTTTAAAGCAAAGTTTTATGATTCATATGTTTGAAGGACACTGGTTGCTATGCCACCTTGAGGGCATGCAAACAAAAAGGTTGCTCTTCTATATTTAGAGCTAGTTTCTGTAGAATGAATGGCTAAATAATTCTCTACTGTTCTTTGCTGCAGTCAAACATGGCTGACAAGTAATGTGCAATTGAACACTACTGAGAAATGCTTACGGATGGTCAGCACGGTGCTGTAGTTGAGTTGTTTTCACAACTGCGTATATAACATAGAACTATGGGCCCTGCCGCAGGTGGTCTAGTGGCTAGGGTACTTGGCTACTTACCTGCGAATCGGGGGGATCGAATCCCAGCTGCGGCGGCTGCATTTTCTATGAAAGCGAAAATTCGGTTTTGTATTCGTGGTTACATAATGAACCTTTTGCAACATGGCTTACTTCCGACATTGAATAAAGACAAGATTTTTATGCAGTTGAAGCATGCTGCTACCCGAACCAAGTTTTAACACTTGCATATGTGCAAAAACTTTGTATACTGGTATGAAAAACAGACTGTATTTGCATAGCTGCTAGGAACTTTTGTGACAATTGTGCTCTAAACTAAAGCAGTACACCATGGTAAACTTGAATTAGGTCTTTTATATGACAGCACTGCTTTATGATTAATTACAAGTCAAGCTGAAGTGTTAGGATGCAAACCATTACGGCGCGAAAACTGCTTCCAAAATGTGCAGCTTCTTGCTCCTAGTATGGCTGGGCAAAGCAATGAATATATAACTATGTTAGCATAGAAAAAATGCTACTAACATATTGCTTTATTTCCACTGCAAAGTGTGGTCTAAGCAAAACTGCCAGATTTGTGTTACTTTTGCTTTATCACTCATGTTGCAACTGGTGTTGAATATTGTTGGCAGCGAAATGTGCCATCTGAGGAATACTAGTCAACTAAAAGTCTATTCATTCTATAGACTATTGTATAGTCCTCGCATTTTCTTGTGTTGTCCTTTTGATGAAACCAAAGAGAAAACAGTAAAAGGCAAAGTATTTTTATTACAATGAAACTGAGTATGCATTCTTTGTTTCCTTGGTTCACATTCTCTTTCTTGTACACAAACGTCTTCTACACTGAGAACAAAATGCATGCACATAGGCTGCCAATAGACTCCAAGCACTGGGCACCTTGTCATATGACTAACACAAGAGATCAGTCTGTCATACAAGAAGCAGCATCTATGGCAGCTAGGCTGCCCCGACATGTTTCTCACCCACACATTCATGCGCTGTCTATGGGTGTGATAAAAAAATAGTGGCACATGTCACATCGTGAGGCAATCGACCTGAAAGCACCGTTCTCACAAAAAAGGACACCGGTTCAACATTACGCCCAGATGTCTCCGAGGACAACGGCACAACAACGACCATCTAGCGTCCTCACACACTGCTACAAATGCAGGAACGAAACTGGCCAGTGTTTATTGCACTTGACAGATATGCGTGCACTTCGTAAAGTGAGCGTCCTTCGAGAAATCTTGGTGCAGTTGGTGGGATGTTGTTAGTGATAGCAAAAGTTTTTCTTTTACAGTGCGCCCACTTCTATATAATAAGGTTAATCTCAGCAGCAGTTATTTTGCTGCCCGTCGTCACTAAAATGGACACCCAGATTCAACAACTACATCCAGCCACACATAGTGCTAAATTGCAGCACCACTTGTGGAGTGAGGAATGTATAGAGTTCCACTGAATGGTCAAGAAAACATGGTTTGGCAATGCCAGAAGCTATTAAAAGTATTCCAGGAAGTAGTAAGGCCATACTCATTTTAGTTTGCTAACAGTACCGATGCACAAATTTGCTGAACAGAATGATCCCTGATTATTCCCACCTGAGGACATGTGCTGAAAATGAAATTCCAGCACTAATTTTGAAAAACTGCGCACATTTGCCATATAAAATTGAATAATGCCCTGTAAAATAAGTAGGTTTAGATGTACATAACGAAATAATGAACATACATCTATACTACCTGCTTGTTCTAAAAAGATGTTGCAGTACAGAATTCACAGTAGAAGCTTGCCTTGATCTTTTCAAATTAGTCCCGCCGCGGTGGTCTAGTGGCTAAGGTACTCAACTGCTGACCTGTAGATCGCAGGATCGAATCCCGGCTGCATTTCTGATAGAGGCGGAAATGTTGCAGGCCCGTGTGCTCAGATTTGGGTGCACGTTAATGAAGACCAAGTCGTCGACATTTCTGGTGTCCTCTACTACAGCGTCTCTCATAATCATATCGTGGTTTTGGAATGTTAAACCCCACAAATCAATCATCAATCTTTTAAAATTAGTGCAGTAAGTTGAAGTTGCAGACTGAATGACCAGTTGTAAACAGGATGGTGTACAGTTTACAAGTACAATGTTTTGAATCATCAGCACAGATGCATAACTGATCATAAGCTTGACACCAAGGTGTGGGCATGTGTTTGCTCTGTCGCAGCCTGAGTTAATTTACCATCCCAAATTAGTGGATAGAAAAATTAGTATGAAATTCAACTACGACAAACAAGACGCAACGAAAAACCCTGTTACATGTACCATGCTACTGCTGAATACACTACGCATATAACGGCAAATAACTGTGCCTAAGAAGTATGCGAAAATTCAAAATCTCATTTAGTAGGAACACATTCACACACAGTCATAGCAGGAGTCTTAGCAAATGCAACTTCACAATAGACCACTGAATAGCCTGCCAAGAGCTGCTTCACATGCGTACAAAAATAAGTTAACATAAAATGGCACTGTAGGTATGCAATGAAAATCTGCCCTTGAACAAGACAGAAATCAAGTTTACATGCAAGCACATTCCTAAAAACAACATGTGAGTAGAAGCACAACCGAATGTATTACATAAGCAAGAACTCGAATCGTCAGTAACAGTAAATGCATTGGACTGTAAATGTAACTGCATGGCACACATGATGAACGTATAGATAGTGTAAATTCTATAACAAAGCAGAACAAAGCAGCCATGAAAAAATAATTGGAACCAGTTCTACGATAACGAAACAGAGAAGAGGTAGTAAAGAGAGTCTAAAGTCTCTTGACTTTATGAAAAGCAAAGCCAAGATGCTGTTGTTAGATGGTGTGGCTCCTTGAAATGCTCAAGCAATATACGAAACGTTGCACGTTAGATTTAATAAATGAAACATTGGAGTTGGGCTTAAGTCATGAGAAATTAGATGAGGACTCTGCTAATGCCTTTAAAAGTAACTTATATGGCCCATCAAAATGAGCCATTATAGTCGTTCCACTGCTTTATAGGCTGCTTAGTAAATAAACAAAATTACTATAGCGTGGAAGAATTTATAATGACAGTAGCAACAGGACCATTCAACAGTGGTGGAAATATATCTCACTTGACTCAAGACAGCACAATTTACTACTGATCAGGATGATCAAACGTGAAACAGTAGCGTCAAAGAAGAGACAATAAATTACAATAAAGTAATCTTCTGAAGCTGGAAATTGACCAACCAACATGTCGGAGAAGAACAGTATGGTTGAAATTGCAGTTGTGATGTGCAGGAGAGTTTTCTACACAAGCCGAGATCACCACAAATAAATTCAAGCAAGGCCACTTTTCAAATGCTCTGTAAAGGAGTGAGAGAATGGTTAAAATGTCAAGTAAAAGAATGAATTTGTCTGTTCTGTTTAATACCTTCTCGATTTGAGAGTGCATCATTCGAACACAACATAGCCCATGCCTACTTGTTTCGTTTACTGCCATTGCTGTAGTCCTTCAAGTTAACTCAAAGAAGTTTTTATTCACGAACTCTTCAGTTGCCCAAATATCAAATGGCCAATAGTGTTATGCATACATATACCAAACAAACATATGCAAGCCTAACAAGCCTCACGAATGCTTCGATTTTCATTCTGTTTAGAGACGAAAAAAAAATCCATGCTCAACTGTATAATTCCATAGCCCTCAATTTAAACATTCGCACCCGAGTCAAATGTAAAAACAGCGCTACTGCTAAAGACTGATGAAGATAACGCACACGTCTTTGGCAATCTTTGCCTGCAGCACTGTTCTTATATTTGATTATAGTCCTACCGACTTGCCCGAGTTTCCATGCCTCGTAACACCCAAGTCGATTACTACAAAGTTTCACTATTTTAAGAACCCTCTCTAAACATACATGCTGCTTTACTCCTCTCACAAATTTCATCATGAAATGCGTGGAAGCTGCAAGGTTGGCCTTTCTCTGAAAGCCACTCAATATATGTATGTACACCTCATCATGTATGTTAACTTAAAACCATTCGCAAAGAGAATATTTCGCTAACTTATAGCAATAGATAAATGGGAGTGTCCCTGACACCAAGGAACACAAATTGGAACGCAGACTACTAAATATTGATGTCTATAAAAGAGCATGGTACAAAAAAATATTAAAATTTGATTCCATTGATGCATGAGAAATGTGTGGAGGATAGAGTAATATCCCACTAATGTCACCCACACTTTTCATATTAGTAAGCAATTGTATCTCAGAAAATGCATTTCACAAATGTCCAAGCTGTTACTCCTTAGTTGGCAATGAAAAGAACTATGTAAAATGAACATTCAGTCACAACAACGCCAAAAAAACAATAACTAACGGCAATCAACAACACTCTGCTCATCCACTATTTTCCCTCTTGCCCAAATGATAAACAAAGATATTTAGCTTTGAGTAACACTGGCGGATCAAGTGATCTGAAAAGACTTCACGTCACATAAATAATCCAGAAAAAAATTTACACCTAGATGGCACGGGTCACGCAATAAGCAGCGACACTTTATACGACCTCAAGAGGTTTATCAACTTTATAAATCAAAATCCCTACAGTATGAAACGTGAAAATACACACGTCTTATTTTGAACTACAGCCAACATGCTTCCCACATTACGTGGCGTGTTCATAGCAAATAAGCTGTTTTAGAGAAGCCTCTGTTTGTGCAAAAGATTATGCATGAAGATTTTGCATGTTATGAAATAAGCAGCATAAAAGGGACAACCATACAGCCTTAATTTGTGAACACCTATAAAAAAGTAACCTTATTTCTTTACTCAAACTGCAAGAGCTCAATGATGTCCTGTGTAGTGCAGGTACATTGCACAGCACTGTTGAGGGCAACACACGCTATATTAAACTGTAAATCACACCCTATCTCTTTCAACTTGATCCCTCTGGCGGTGGGAGCAATCTTAATGTGTGATTTTCAAGGCACCATAAAAGCAATCTAAGATTCAAATATAAAGTGAATCATAAACAGAGGCATAGCCATAATTTTTTTTATTATGCATGTATGTAAGTTTGCTTGTATGCGTGTTCATATATGTAATAAACACATATGAAATGTAATAATATTGAGGGGAGGGAGAGGGGTAGAACACCTAAACCAACCCCTGGCTACGCCACTGATCATAAACCTAAGGGCAAGTTTCTTGGTCCTGTGGCTGCTTTCTCACGATTTTCTGTCTGCTGCCTCCTATCCACTACTTATTTGGCGACTAAAATTACCGTAAGGACCGAGCACACATTTAGAGCCATGTACGGCGTCATTACTGTGTATGTGTGCAGTGCATACCCTCTTTGGTACGCAAACTGTATTGATTGTTGACACTGAGCACAACCCTAGTCCTACTCTGAATGCCACAAGAGTGAGTGTCCACGCTGCACCTTAAGTAATTTTGAAGCTGCCAGACATTTTTTACAGTATGTTGACTAGATACGTTACAGAGCCAAATGTGAACCCACGCCTAGGAATTGCAAGAACACGTTTCCTCACGCTAGGTGGAAGTACATTAAGCACATGACAGACTCTGCAAACTTTGGCTATGCCTGCCAGCATGGAGATCACTCAACGAACATTTTTTCACCGAGCCCACATTGTAACACAGCCAATATAGCCAGAGCCGAGCCATAGACATGGATCTACTGGGTAGCTGTACTTGAGAGTTAATGTGTGCAATGCAAAACCAAATAGCTAAAATGAAACCAACAAAACTAATACATGTTATTCACATGAGGTAACAGCGTAAAATAAGGCAGTAACGTCTTGGCTTATGCAAATACAGTAGACTCACGATACTTGAAACTACGATTATGCATACTTTTTTTTGTTAATTCGAACAAAATTCAATTTTTTGGGTGGCCCTCTATTTTTTCAATGTATTTAAAAGCCTCTTATAGTTCAAACTCTATAATTTGGTTAATTCATAGTTTTTGCAGTTCCATACAAGAAAATGTCTGCTGGATTGCCACTACTGTTTGAAAATGGGTGTGCTTATATAATCCTAACAGTCTAAAAATAAAAAATAAGCACCTCGGGCCTTCAAGGAAAAAGGCTTTGCAAGTAAACAAATGTTGGAAACGAAGCACACACATTGTAAACTATGATGCTTCTCAACTGGCAAAGAGAGCTTTGTGCTGAAGGCACATATATAGCAAAGAAGCAGTTGGCAATTCGCGATTTTTTTTTCAAAGTTCTGATCAGCAGTGAATGGCCAATACACTTGTGGACCTTACACCTCTGCTTTTTTTTCATTGCAGTGCAGTTAAAGTTTAAAAACCTGAGAACTTCTGATAATTCAAACTTCTTGATAATTCAAACAAAATTCAGAGGTCACTTCGAGTTTGAATGAATGAGTCGACTGTAGTTTCGCCTTGCACTTTGTGAATTTGGCACAACTATGAATGCTAGCAGATGTGCCAGCATTGCAAACACCACTGTTTCTACAGTTTTTGATCGAACTTAAGTAACCATCTTAACCATTTAATTATAGTGATAAAAATTCGCAGTGAGTGACGAGCAAGGTACTACAATTTGTTACTATCGCATAAGCAGCTGAGACATTTCAAATGTAATTGTCAGGTTGTAGAAAGAAAGAAAGAAAAGTAGTACCTCGCACATTAAACACTTAATTTAGAGCCTTATGTGTCAAGTGTGTGATGCATAAGACATGTGAATCCATGGTACTGACGTCATGACTAATTTTTACTACGTGTACATATGTGTTTAAAATACTTGTCACATAATTATTTTCCGTGTCACTTGAAATTGCTTGGGACATTTATATAATTTTGTTGTTTACCAGAAAGTGTACTAAAGTGCATCACATGTTTAATAAGTCTACAATAAACTTCCAACCTAAATGCCAAGAAATATTCCTTCATACCACATCATCATGAATCAGGTCAAGTAGGCCAGAGTCGGCATTTCAAAATCAACTTTAGTGTCGAATTAGAGGGTGCTGCACCCCAAAATTTGTGCTCACCAAATGTGATCCTATACGTGCCGTAAGTATGCAGCAATATTTCTATGTAGTATTCAAAAGTATGTCTAGGTACTTCAATTTTGCTCTGCCAGGTTCATGCAGAAATGGCACTTTCTCTCCGAAAATTGGCCACAACTGCTAGAAGGTGGGCCTTTTACAAGTGAATGAATCAGCCTTTTTTTTTTTGCCACAGCGACACTTGTGACTCTTGTGATGCTTGCAGATACATCTCATCTTTCTTGTGGTGGTAGCTTTGCCTCACTGGGAACTTCAGATATATCAGTAATAGACTCCAGGATACTGATCGATGTATGGGCACCACAAACAAAAATCAAAATGAAAATGGCAACTATCACTCACTGCAAAATGCTCCTCAGCACACTATGTCATAATGAAAGCTCACGGTTAATTGCACACACATCCACAAAAGGGAGGGAACAAGATAGCCACAGCTTACCAAGCCTAAGCAGCAAAACCGCATGCGAAGAAACCCGAGCCACATCGCAGGCTCCGGAATTCATGCGAGTTCACAAACTGGGAATGGCCAGTTCTAAGTGTTCTGGGAGACCTCCGCCTTGAACGGAACTGCTCTCCTATGCAGTCAGCATCTATCAATACGTCTTCGTGCTACTTCGATAAACGCACTGGCTCCAAGTACATATCACAATTACAAAGGAAGCAGAACGCTACAGAGAAAAGTTTGGCAAGGGTAACGCTTACGTAAATTAAACGAAACTATAGCCTTTCAGCAGAAAACTTGCAAAAAAGTTGGCAACAAGAGAAAAAAAAGCATTTCCGACCACTGCAGCATGAAATGTGTGGTCTTCTACACACTGCTATCTTCATGTTATAGCAAGATTCCAGGAACATTGTACTTTCGACACTTCGGTATATTCACAGCTCTTGCTGAAAAGAAGACAAAGGAGCCATGCTGGAAGCTGGCCAGTCACTCCCATCAAATGAAGAAGGTCTTTCAGTTTGATGTAAATAACGCACTAGATAACTAGCGTAACAAAACACGCGGCAAGCGAGTCTGGAAGCCACATCCCACATCGTCCGCACGTCTATAGGCTTTTCGGGCATTTTTAAGACTAAGCTGTCGCGCTTTACACATCACCTGCTGTTCCTGCCAGGTTTCTTCGCTCAATGCACTGGGTTGGCACTGTCGATTCAGTCACACGTGTGACGGGCGCACCACCGAGTTGTTGTTGGTTCTGACCGCACGCTCGTTGTTATCATTGCAGTCGGGCCGATCGAGGAGAAAGCTTTCCTCCAAGTCGACCTCGAAGCCAGGATTGGCAACAATGTGTGGCACAGCCGACGACTCTTCCTCCTCTTCTACTTCATCTTGAAGCTCCTCTGCAGTAATTGAAACGATGGTCAGGTGATTATGTCCAGCAATACTTATGAAACATGTTTATATTTGATAACAGCTGCAAAAAAGCCCTTAGGACAAGCTAGTTTATGCTAAGCAGTTCGTAATCATTGCTAGTAGATGGTAATCAATAAAGTCTAAAATAGCAGTAGTCAATCCCTCATTTTTCGTTTGATGCTTGAAAAAAGTAAATGTTTTTTGGGCCAGTAGGTGATGCGTACTTGGTGTAAAGAAACGCAATAGACAGGACAATAAACTGAATCATGTATCAGGTCAGCTCTTCGAAAGTCTTGCCTACACAAGCTAGCAGAAAGCTTCAGCCTTCAGACCGCACGATTGCAACTAGCAAGGTACTCCCAGCCGCTCCTTCTAGCGGCCACAGAAATGCTGCTAAACCAGCTTTGCAAGGAGCATGCGGTATATGTAGGCATTCCATTAAAGAGAGGTGCAGATGAGGTGGTTCTATATGGTGCACAGATTGTAACACAAAAAGTTAAAAAAAGAAAGCAGTGGCTAGGCATGGGGTGGACCTTGTTTTCTCCGCACAAATCAACAAAAGTGTGCAGACGCATCACAAGCACCCGAACAACTAAGTGATGTACTATATCAAACACAAATATCAGTATGTTGAGCACATAAATTCAGTTGTGTACAAAATTCCTTTAAGCTGCAGTCGAGTTCACTTGGCACTGTTACGAAGCGCGCCTCCGACGACGTTACGAAGGGCGCTACGAATCCCACCGCTGCCACCACTGTTGCGAAGCGCGCCTCCGACGATGTTACGAAGGGCGCTAGGAATCTCACCGCTGCCACCACTGTTGTGAAGCGCGCCTCCGATGACGTTACGAAGGGCGCTACGAATCTCACCGCACTGGGGCCGACAGAGACGCAAAGAGCCGAGCTCTCCTCTCTAACACATAGGTCTGCTCTCAAATAGGTCTGCTAACACATAGCTCAACTCTCTATCACATAGCTCTCTTCTCTGACACACAGCTCAACCGCGACACGCATGTCTGCTCTCACATAGGACTGCTAACACATAGCTCGACTGCGACACACATGTCTGCTCTGACACGCAGCTCAACTGCGACACACATGTCGGCTCTCACATAGGACTGCTCTCGAACAGGTCTGCTGTCAAAGGGGTCTGCTCTCGACGCGCCGCAGGGCTTCTTTTATATGCACCGGGTCCAACCCAAATGTCCAACCAGAAGCGCCGCTGGTCGTGAGGTTAGAATCCTCCAATGGGGTCGCCGCTGGGCCGCGTCATTCTTTCTCATCGAATCTGGAGAGGCTGCGCTGCAGGTGGCTGCACCCAAGGACAAGTGTCGTCGCCAGGCATTGCGTCAACCCCCCCCCCCCCCCAGACAGGAAGACGCCGGTTGTTTACTCGACGGGCTCGCGGGCTGATGTGACTCACTGCACGTGCGCGCCAGAAAGGCGCCGCCGCGTGTTGACGCCGTTGAGTTGTTCGTGTCAGGCGGGCTCGCGGGCTGGCCTTGACACAGATTGCCTTTTTCAGAGGCACGGACGTTCGCTGTGGACTCGCAGGCATAACAGCACCCCCGCCGCCAGACAATGCGCCGGAAAGACGAGCTGCTTCCACGTGGCTCGGATGTCAGGCGCGCTCGTTCGCCAGGTCTCTCCAGGTTCGTCTCTAGGGCCATGGGGAAAATGCAGCTCCAGACTCCGTTCCGGGAACACATCCCATTCTTGAGGACGGATCCCAGCTCCACTGGCTTGTCGCCACAACTTGTCGATCAGCTTCGCTCGTCTCTTCTGACGATCCTTGGTTTCAGCACTTGTCGATGGTTCTGCAACTTGTCAAGAACGGTTCGACAACAGACAACACACGACACAAGCAAGTGCCCTCGGTCACCCGACAGAACACCAGACAAAGTATATTAGAACATATACCTAGGTACGTGTCTATCGGAATTTCGTTCCCTCTACATCAAGAGGCACATGTGGGACACAAGACTCTTAAAATGAGAGCTCAATTTTTTTTACACGTACAACAACATAACGAATTAGAATACAACATAAAGTTGGCTCCTTGTGCTCACTCTGGACGAGAGCGCTCAGTTAAAGTCGTGATGAGGTCAAAATTTTGCCCCGAATCGCCAGCGAGAAACCGAAAGGTTGAGAAGGTACTAGCTAGAACGCACTGCTCAATGCACCTGCATTAGCGTTTAGCTTTCCTTTTTTCTTTAGCGAACGTCAAAGTTGCGCTGTCGGAGTATCACGCTCCATCTCAGTAACCGGTCACTTTTAGGCGACGATACCTATGCGGTACCAACAGCTGCTCATACTTGCGACGTTCCACAGGAGAACAACGATACGGCTTGCTAGGGATTGGCTCCTCACAGGTTAGCTCAGTATCGTGTTCGATCACCGTTGTGTTTCCGTGACAGTCCGAAAACACGTCTTCAAACACCAAAACAATCTTTCTCAGGTCCTCCTTCTGGATTTCACTTAACCTAGGTTCTAGGTTCAACTGCTCCAAGCTTACCTCCGATCCCCTTTTGATTACATCACTAGAACTCAAAACTTCCGCTCCCTCTTCCTCTGAAGCACTTAAAAGTAAATTTACGACCACTTGACGTTGAACGTATGGTTTCCTCAAGTTACTGTGATAAATTTTGCTCGGCCGCTTTCCTAATTTCACTTCATAATTCGTATCGGAAAGCTTCGATATTACTTTGGCGGGCCCTTCCCAATGAACCTCAAGCTTGTTCCTTTTGAACGGCTGCAGCAGCATTACCTGACTTCCTACTTCAAAAGCGCGCTTTTTCGCCGATTTGTCGTTATACTCCTTCGACAACACTTGTGCAGCTTTCATGTGGCTTTCCCCTAGCGCTTTTATCGAGAGGTCCGCACCCTGCTCTCGAATGAGCGTTTCTCGATCAACCCTCGACAGCTCACTCCAACTTTCCGCTACAGGCGAGAGCGTTGCACTCCCCTCGCTTTGACTCAATGGCGCCATGTCGTCTCCCCCTGCTACGGAAGCCACGCCGGTCGCTTGGGCGACGGGCCGCTCGAGTGACTGCTCACATGACTCACGCGGAAAATTTCCTCTCGGAGGTTCCGTCGACCCGCCGACAAGGTCACTTGAGAGTTCACCGCATTGAACAAGATCAAGCTCCTGCAAAAGCTTCCGCGCTTGCGATCGCGTGAGGGCCATGTACGCTAAGTTGGGGAAGAACGATTTACCCTGCTCTTTGAGAAGCTGCTCTGAGTTGTTGGAGAAAAGATAAGGAAAACGATCGGGAAGCGCGGCAGACACAGCCGCTTCGGTGCGAAGCTTACCGAACGGGCCTTCAATGACAACCGTAGCGATCGATCGGTAAGCAAGCACTCTGCTCCTCGGCGACTTGCCTGATCCACGCGCATTCTCCCGTAAAGTCATCCGGAGACACCAATGAAGGATGGACAACGTCCATGGTTGCCGCTGAGTCTCTAAGTGCTCGGCACGTTTTCCCATTCAAACTAATTTCTTGGATATACGGCTCTAACAACCGCATGTTCTTTTCCGATTCTCGAATTGTTGCGAAAGCAAACTTTTGCTTACAGTTTATCGCGATGTGCCCTTCCTTTTTGCAGTTGTAGCAGATTAGTGGCTTCCGTGATTCAAACGCCCGTGTGGTATCAGTGCGTTGTTTAGGAACCTCACTCGATTTCTCCGCTTCTGTTTGCCCTTCCCCTACACTGTCCTTCGTAAGAGACGGGTCCTTCTTGAAATTATGGTGCGGAGCGGGTTTCCGTTGATCAGGTTTCTTCGAAAAGCCCTCTTTCCTTTCATCCTTTTCAACGCGCACTGCCCTGCTATGCAACTTTCGGCGAGTATAATACTCCTCAGCTAACTCTGCTGCCTTGTTTAGCTGTACTTCACCAAGTTTGTCCTGCAGCCAAAGTTTGACATCCTCCTCGATGCAGCGGTAGAATTGCTCCAATGCAACGCATTCCACCACTTTATCGCGGTCGTCATAAACACCTTCGCCCTTGAGCCATTCAATTAAATCGGCTTTAAGACGAAACGCGAAGTCAACGTGTGACTCATTCCCCTTTTTAGCATATCGGAACCTTTGCCTGAAAGCCTCGGGTGACAACTTATAACGTCTCAAGAGCACTTCCTTCACCTCGTCATAGCTCTCAAACGCTTCCCTCGACAAGCAAGTTATCACGTCGGACACTTCGTTGGGAAGAAGAGCTAACAGGTTCTGCGCCCAAAGAGACCACTCCGAAGCGTTTCGCTCACAGACGTGTTCAAACTTGACGAGATACTTCGCCATGTCCTCGCCTACTACGAACAGTGGCAGTTGGTCCCAAATTCTAAAACCGCTGACCTGAATCGTCGGAGAAGCTACGCTAGGCGCCTGCGAACACTGTAGGATTGCCAATTCTATTCGTTTCAACTCGAGGCGCTCCTGTCTCTCGGCCTCCTCGCGCTCGCGACGTTCGCGCCTTTCAGCTTCTTCACGTTCGCGAGCTTCTACTTCTCGCCTTTCAGCCTCCTCGCGGCGTGCTTTGATATCCACCCAGGCCTCATCGACTTCCTCAGCCGACACTCCCTCATCCTTCATGATCTCAAGGATCGCTTGCTTTTGTTTCGCACGGCCCAAAGTAATGCCGAGTTCCTCACAAATTTCGATGAGTTCCTTCACTTTAAGGTTCTCCATTGTTCACACTAGCCTCTTGCTGTTTGCCCCTGTTAAGAATTTACTTGCCGTACCCACTATAAGTCTACTAGCAAGACGCGCAAGCAATTTTTCACACTCCCGTGTTTACACCCTCCGCATTAACTTTGGTTTCAAAGCGCTTCGACTTGGCTTGAAACGATCAAAGCTCACTCTAATGCTTCACACAGCCCTTCTCTAAACTACTATAACCTGAGCTAGGGTATTCTGGTGAACTGAGGGGAAAACATCAGGCACTCACCGCATCGATGTCGCTGACGCCGGCCGATCCTGCAGCTGCCAACCAC